AGGAGTTACCTGTGAGGCTGGCCAACATCATGAAGGAAATTAACTTGCTGCCAGACAACTTATTGAGGACTCCATCAGTCCGATTGGTCCAGAGCTGGTATGCAGGTTCTCCTTTTTTTCCACTTAATTTTAACGAATTAACAGTATTTAACTCTTACCAGTCTGTGAAATACAAAAAGATAATTTTCCCCCATGTAGGTACATGCAGAGTCTTCAGGAGATTCTCGAGTTCAAAGACAAAAATGCAGACGACGAGAAAGTCACATATGAGTAGGTTTCCTCTTTTAACCACCGCAACAGCTCATCTATTCCTGCAGATTTTTTCTCACGCATTGCCTTAATTTTTATGTCTTCAATTAGTTTCACAGATACTGTGATAAATATCAGAAATCGCCACAATGATGTCATTCCCACCATGGCTCAGGGCGTTGTGGAGTACAAGGAGGCGTACGGCACAGATCCCATCGTCAGCCAGAATGTTCAGTATTTTCTGGATCGCTTCTACATGAGCAGGATTTCCATCAGGATGCTGCTCAACCAGCACAGTGAGCACATGTTGTATTTTTTGTAATGTGATTGCTGAGCTGTACTTGTTTGGAAATGAAAGCCCTTGGGTTCAGGAGCCAGACTTCTGTGCTGATAATATATCTGAGGTTTCAGGCTGTCTGCGTCGTTTTAAAACTCCTGCTACAGTAAACCGGGAATCAACCGACCCCACCCAGTGTCATTTTCTGGCAGTTGCACGAAAACTAAATGACTTGTGTTTTATTTACAGACAGCAAAGACCAAAACAAGCTCACTTGCGTAAAGCTACACTATATAAAAACATTGTAGATAAATAAATAAAATATGGCTTATTTTGGACATCGCTAAATATCGTAAGTCATTCAGAAGGGGCTCAGAGTAGAGTTTCCACTTTTCCACATCTAAAGGAGCCAGTTCAAGTGGTTCAGGCATCTGACCAGGATGCCTAATCAATGCATGAGGTGTTTCAGGTATATCCTACCAGCAGAAGGCCCTGGAAGAGACCTAGCACACACTGGAGAGATTATGGCTCTCTTCTGGCTTAGGAACACCTCAATGTCCCCCTGGATAAACTGGAGGAGGTGGATGGGTAGAAGGAGGTCTGGTCATATCTGCTTAGGGTGGACTCTGTGACCTGAACCCAGATAAGCAATGAGTGGATGGAATTTCAGTTAAAGTTTTTATTAGAATTTCCTGCATATGGTGACACTGGAAGAACTCGTTACGGCTCAGGCCCCCTCAGGATGGTACTGCTCTTCAGTTTTTTTTTTAGCTCTAATCAAAAGGTCTCACATTAAACCCTGAACTTACAGAGACAAATATCAGTAAGTATTAAGACTTCACAATGTTCATGTTGTGTGTTTTTCTGTAGCTCTGCTCTTTGGAGGGAAGGTGAATCCTGCACACCCCAAACAGATTGGCAGTATTGATCCACACTGTCGGGTCAGCGAGGTTATCAGAGGTGAGACTTTCTTATATTTATAGAAACATGCCGGAGAAAAGTGTTAATCTATGCTGTTCTTCCAGTTTGCAAGCGCCATGTAACAAAAACAAACCACTTCCTTGTAGATGCCTACGAAAATGCAAGAAACCTTTGTGATCGGTATTACATGAACTCTCCTGAGCTGGTCCTTGAGGAATTCAATGGTAATTTATGTAGTTAGAAGAAATAACACAAACAGTTTCAATGATGCCGCTCTTTGACTTGGTTAATGAATGAATTGTAACGTAATCAAATGTTTTCCAATCATCTGTTTGTCCTGATAGCCAAAGAGAAGGGAAAACCTGTCACCATGGTCTATGTTCCATCTCATCTGTATCACATGGTGTTTGAACTCTATAAGGTGCTTTTTAAAAGCCTGTCTTCATATATGTCAGCATTTTATATTTCAAAATATCTCTTTTCCAATGTTAAACATTTGGATAAACACTTGTCACAGAACGCCATGAGGGCCACCATGGAGTTATACGGAGATGCCATGGAGTACCCTTCTATCCATACACAGGTTGCTCTGGGAGCTGAAGATCTCACAGTCAAGGTAAATGTGCAGATAAACTCCTGTACAGTAAAGGTTAAAGCAGCAAACTTGGCATTGAAAACTCTTTCAGGTTTTTGTGTACGTTTTGGGGGAGCTTGTGTTTATTCATGCTGTTTGCTTTGTGAGGTGAGCGACCGTGGAGGAGGTGTGCCACTGCGTAAAATCGACAGGCTGTTCACCTACACGTACTCGACTGCTCCGAGACCCAGCATCGACGGCTCACGTGCTGCTCCTCTGGTGAATACTCCTAATTTATCATCGCTAGTGACTGAATCAGTGTCAAAGAGAAATCAATCAGTGAGTGTTTGAAAATGGAAACAGCTGTATCAGCGTCTCCACAGCTGGGGTAGGTATCCAGCTATCCCGTATACGCCCTGAAGTTCTACAGTTCCTTTTCGACACACATACTTGGCTTTTGCAGGGCTTTCACACGTCCCACCTATCAAAACAAAAAGCACTGCTGCAATTTTCCCCTATGTTCCAGAGAAAATCCACAGCCAGTCACTTTGTTCCAGTGAATGCTGTCTTTGTCATGGAGCTGCTAGCTGCTCTGTTGTTTCCGACTTTGTCTGGATGAACTCTGCTTCATTTCTCTTTAGGCTGGTTATGGGTATGGCCTGCCCATCTCACGACTGTACGCTCGCTACTTTCAAGGAGACCTCAAGTTGTATTCTATGGAGGGTTACGGAATCGATGCTGTGATCTACATACGGGTAACCCAGTTCCACAGAAGCAGCATTAGTGCCTCTTTTAGAGAGAAGAGCACATTCCTAAAGAATCTTTTTTTTCTTTCCCCTTCAATCACGTTTTAGGCACTATCCACAGAGTCCATCGAGAGGCTCCCGGTGTACAACAAGTCAGCCTGGAAACACTACAACACCATCCACGAGGCCGACGACTGGTGCGTCCCGAGCAAAGAGCCAAAGGACATGACGACATTTCGTAGCTTGTAGATCAAATGTAAATCAAAGTGCGCAAGAGACGTAACCGAATGTGTGAGCGCGTGGCAGTAATTACATCAAACCCTTCAGTTATTTACAAACAAAGCTTAAAGAATAATAGAACAAAGTTTTAGTGCCACATGGAACAATAGCTTTGTTATGATCAGTACTTTAAAGTGCAGCAGCTCTTGTTTTTCCCCATTCATCTTAAATGTTAACTGTTATCTACCAGGACCAGGTTTCAACAAATGCAAGCTGTATGTTTTTTATGTTTTATATTTATATTTGACATGAAAAACTTGCAGGTGCAGAGAAATTAACAATTTAAACATACATTCATGTTTTCCCTTTAAATGATGAACAAGATGGTACTGCACAGCTGTCAGCGCTCTCTGGTGGACAAAGCTTGCAAAGGTGTCATGTTTGTCTGTGATGAGATATGGATCACCTGATGCGTTTATCAGGACATTTATAATTTTTGTGATGCTTTAAGAATAAGACTTAAAAGCCATGTTGTATTGTTTGTATTAGCAAAACAAGCGGTCTGCAGGGTTCAATGCCATCGGGGTCGGAGGACAATGTATTAAAGCCCTGAACTCGCGTTTATGTGAGGTTGTCCTTACAGGTACCAGCAAAAGTTTAGTTTGCTTTGCTGCTTTGAAGCTTTTCCTTTGTCTGTTTTAATTAGGTGAACTTTAGTTTCTGCTGTTACAGTTTATCTGTGCGTAGAGTTTCTCTCCCCTGTTTTTGTGGAGTCTGTTACTTTGAAAGAAAAGCACAGCTGGTGTGAAATTAAAAGCTTTGCTTTTTGTTAAGCTGCTGTCTTCTAAGCACTTCTCGTGTTTCTTTTGTTTATTTATTCGGGCATTTCTAACAGGGTATTGGTTAAAAAGTAACATGATGGAAAAAAGGTTTGATTTGCTGTCTGTAAATTGTTGTATTGCACTTGTTTTTCGTGCTAGCTTGAGAATGTTGGGGGTATTTATTGGGAGTGTTGCAGCTGGTGTGGTTTATTGGGTCAGTGTTTGTGGTTTTCTGTTATGCTTTAAAAGAAGATACTACAACCTTGAACTCTTTTCCACACTATTCTTCTGTGTCCTATAAGGAAACTTAATACAGTATTTTAGTGCTGTGGTTGTATTATTTGGGTTCATTCAGCTAAACTGACAAAAGTCCTTGTTTTCCATGTTACACTATCTGCAGTTGTCTGAGTGGATCATGTTCAGTATAGTAGGTTATTTTCCAGATAATTACTTTTGTTAAAATAGCTTTGTGCATGCAGAGTAGAGGTGAGAGAAACTTGTTTATTTGTGATCACCGATTTCTGTCAAGTATTTAATTAAAACTGTAACACCAGCAGTTTGACTGTTGAAGGCATTAGATATGAAATCATTGTCATGGGGCAAAAGTTTCAATAAACTGTTACAAACACTGACTACTGCCTGTTTTTAGTTTTAGACCACATGTCTGCTGGATCGAGACTTATGTCACATGTTTAACTCATCCGGCCAATTGACTGATGTGCTGCCACGATGAGGCGTTTGTTACTGCTCTGACAGTATTGGTCAGAATGTAACTGGACTTGCACACAGTGATCTCATAACAAGTTTTCACACAAACTGAGTCCAAGAGAAAAATGGCTTTACTTTCTCAAGACTCACTACTACTCCTATTTTTAGTCGAATGAAATTAGTGCTGGATACGACTTTTGCAAGCTGCCTTAGCTACAGCAAACCAACGATGACAATAACATCACTTTCTTTACACTAACCTGTGAATTGTGTGCCAGATGAGCTACATCACTGACATCTGGTTAAAGCAGACTTTAATAGTGTGCAGCTGTGTATAAAAGCTGTAGCAACATCTTAAGCAATCAAATCTTCACCTTGTTACTTGGGTGGGTTTTGACTCAGGTCTGTGAAGCTAACCCTGAGACTGTTGTGCATACAAGCTTTGCTTTTTGAAAGAGCAGCAACATAAAAGCACACAGGCCACATAAAGTGAAAATTAGTTTATTGACGTTGCATACACCAAGAAACATTTCTGATTTCGCGGTTGCAGTCCAATATGTCTCAATCGATATGCAACATGGAGTCATGCTCGAGAGGAAAGGAAGCACTTCGGTTTTGCGGTGAACTCTTTACTGTTTAGACCTCAAATCCCACATCCCACAAGTCGTTGTCACAGGCTGTTTAATGGACCAGTGAGGTGCACGTGTAGCAGACCTGCATGCTGTTTGTATTTACATGGAGCATCACTAACGACACAGACTTGGGGACAGCAGAGCAGCATTCACCTTGTCCCAGCTTGATTTCATTTTGCTTTTCCATTCAGCAAAAATGATGGCCTAACTATTCTACTTAGTAGAAAATTTTTGATAATATAAAATGAACAATGATATTTAAGTAAAAAAAAAAAAGATATGCAGTTAATAGGCACATGTATAAAACTCATTTATACATTTAAAACCTTGTAGCCCCTTGAAGCTTAAAAGACAAATATAGTGCTTTTATCCACCTGTACATTAACCGTTCAACACTGAAACGGGCATATCATTTAAGAAAAAATATAAAATGCTTTAACAAAAAAAGAAAAAAAATCAGTATACATTTGACTTTGATAGGCAAATGTGTGCATGATCTGCAGGAACTACATTATGTCTCAATACAGACTTTAATAATTATCACTTCTGACTTTTTAGTGGTAAAAAGGCTAGGATCTCTTTTTTTGGAAAACGTTTTGACGTTTGCCATTTTTGAGTTAAAATTTGATTTTGATGATGCATTTTGGAGAAAACAAACAGTATAAACATAAATCACAGCACAGGGCTGCTCCTGGCACGGATATGTTCTGTGGCTGCCGGCATGGACAATGTCACGTCATTTTAAAAAAACAAAAAACAAAACAAAACATTTCTCTCCGGATTGTGCATGGTGATGAACTTTATGCAATGCATAATCGCCGAAGTGACGCCTCAGCAGACGGAGTCACTGGACAGCGGCAGTTTTGCACTGCGTCGAACCTCCTTCTCTCGTTTTTCCCGCTGCTTCTCCAGCTTCTCTTGGGCCTTCCGCATGTCCTTCAGCTTTTTCTTGATGGTTGAGCGATCACTCTGACTCGTCACTCCAAGTGCCTGACAGAAAAAAAATAAATAAATAAATCAAGCACAGACTTGGGGTAAATATAATTCCACCACATTTTCCATACCATTACTGAAACATTTCAAAATTAGGACATTTCAAACCATTTATTTCATCACAATTTAATTATGTTAACTGTCAGAAAATATCACAACCTGGGATCTTCAAACTGACATGTTTAGTAGAGAGACAGCGCTAACTGTGGATTTATGGAGAAATTGATGCCGTCCGTGTGTTGTCACTGCAAACCCCTCCTGTGCTACTAGGGACTACTTTTTCACAGCAGTTTTTGAATTTATCACTGAGTAAATAACAATCATTACCTCAATGTAAGGACTATATGCCAGCAAATGTTTAAAGGAAGGTTTGCTGAAACCACCAGGATGCATGTGAGGGAATGTACAAAGTGGGAAAGCTTGAGGAACAAAAACCTCACCACATCAAAGAGTGAGGACCCAGGAGGGAAACAAGTCCTGGAGTTTTATTTGTTTCTATGAGCTAACATTGTATATAAAACACCAGGTGATGACCACAAGGCATTTATGCCACACACACACACACACACACCCATAAATGCTGTCCACGATGTTGGCCTCTTACACAGGTTAGGCTCCACCAAGATTCACTGCAGAAGTCTAAATCAGCTCTAACGCTGCCCTTTTACAAAGAAACAACTTTTTTTAAATATACTTTTTATAACATCTTTTAGTTTCAAACTTGTGTTATATGAAATGCAAATGTAGCAGTGAAATCAGACAAATCTTAGACAAATATTTCGTCTTATAAACACCACAGTCTGACTAATACGCTTCGTGACATGACTTGAACCCCACACCAGTTAGAAATGTGAAACCTAAATCTGGCCACAAGGTGGCAGTCACAGGCTGACCTGACTGAAGATTTTTTTTCTATAACAAACTTTGTTTGATTAATCTGCAACACTGATTCATTTGTAAGTGCTGTATTTGAATTTTGTGTTTTACCTTTAATTTGTCGCTGTCCAAGTGTAAGAGCTGCTGGCCGTCCACTCCCTTAGCGGTGAATTCGGGTGTGTACTGGTCCATATTCATGCCCATCAACCAGTGACAGACCTGTTGATTGGTCCAATCAGACACTGGCCGGTTCTGCCACTGATACTCTTTTCCTGTGGCTGCTGGTTCATCATCCAAAGTCTGCAGAGGAAACAGATATTAACAAATATTAAAATCCTCATACTATTGCTTCTGTTAGAGCAGCAAAGAATTTATACCACCCCCTATACCACTTTTTTTTGGGCCACATGTTTTTTTTTTTGTTTTTTTTTTTAAAGATTATGACTCGAAATGCTGGGAAAATACATTATACAGAATAAAGATGTATAGTTCATGTTCATCGACTAAATAATACCATGGGCTTGTGTTGCCTTGTGTTATTAATGCAAAGTATAGTGATGGGTGTTGAGCAACAGATCTAAAAATGTCAGCAAGCTAAAATTGCAACTTTGTGTAGGTGAGAAAGTTTTGCCAGGAATTATGAGCTGGTCGAGACACCCGAGGAAAGCCAACAAAAGTCCTACGAGTTGATTTGCATTTCCTAATCTAGCTCTGAGAAAGAAAAACAAAAGCGTGCAAAGACAGCAAAGTACCAACAACACTGATGCATGTCAATGTCTTTATGTTTTCCTGAGACACCTGAAAAGAATTGACGACATCAGAAAAAACAGACAGTGAAACATCACTCAAAAGGCAGCGGAGCAGTCAACAAGGTTCTGTGCGCTGCCAAAGCTTGTAAAAAAACAAAAAACGAAGCACTGGTTGTACAAGTTCAAACTATTAACATCAGCTAACAGAAAAAGCTAAGCCACAAGACTCACTGTAACACAAAACAAAAAGATTTAACAGGCACACATGCAGCTCTCTTATATTCCCTCTCCATTCATGATTTAATCTGTGCTATGAAAGGGGGGCGAAGCTCAAAGAGCATGCTTGAGAATGTCCCCTTTCAGCAGCATCAAGGCGTCCCACACGGCTTTTGTGACTGTGCAACAAGGAGAGCACTCACCTCGCTGGAAGAGAAGATTAAAGTGTGTGAGCGCCCAGACAGATTGGGTTCAGCAACTAACCCAGAGATGTCTGAACTGGGACTGGCAGGGTTAGAATCATCTATGACTGAAAAACTCTGGAACAAGTGGAAACAAGGAACTTGTTTACTAGAGTAACACAGCACCACTCAGCAGTTCTTTACGAGAGGCAAACAAACAGCATTAAGTATGAAGGTTAAAAGCTAGGTTGTCTCGCTTAAGACTGAAATTAATCTGATAAATGATTTAATCTTATTACTATGGCAGCAGTCCATGTCATTGATTATAGGCATTGATTGACTGTGATCTTCAACATGTGGAAGGATTGACTATGTAAGAAGTACTGAAGCTGCTAGACTAACACCAATCCACCACCAAAACTACATCGACAACTTCTGAACTACCACAGCTGACACTAGAACACAAACACACAATTATTCAGGTATGGGGTAATGTTTTAATTAATTTGATGCTGGGATCATTCTTAGATATAATGCAGACTCAACTCTGGGTTAAATTTAGAGAGAGGGAATTTTTATCCAGGCCTCCAGGTTGTTGCACCAACTAAGAGCAAGTTCATGTGCAGTTAAATTTTAAGACTGTTAGTTACAAGGTAGCAGTGAGAGCTGGATTTTCACACAAATCTCTGAGTAGATTTCTGATTAGCCAGCGCAACAATCCCTGGAAACTAGTTTTGGCTTCTCCGTTTCATTTAATAAAAGCCAGAAGGCTCTCTCAGCTATAACAAAGGAAAATTAGACAAATGTTTCCTGAAACAGTACCACATACCCACTACAAAAAAACACAAAACAAAACTGTGCACTATACATGGGGGATGCAGCTGAGGTGAGAATTTAGGCATCCAGAGCTATGATTGTTAGTATTTCTCTACTGTGTCATCTAAAACCAAAGGTGAAACAAAAATGTGTATACTGTACCAAATCTAATGAGCGACTGAATAAAGAGGACCAGGAGAGATTTGTCTGTTTAAAGGAAAAAATATGCCATAAAGCACACAGCAATAGAACCAAAAGCAATTTTTTTCCCAGTAATCTCCTTTTGGTGCGATCATGATCTCATTAAAGAGCATTCTGGGAATAATCCAACCACACAGCCTTAAATGAAAATCAGACTTTTCACTGGGGGCAGCTGATGTGTCACTACTTCCAAAGTTACTGAAAAGGGAACCAAATCCCTCACTGATGTGTCTCTCTAATGGCAAACTCATGGATCTACTTACTAGAGCCTTTGGAAAGCACAGTGTATCTGAAGAACAAGCCCACAACAGGAAGTCAGCCTAACACTGTTTTATATAACAATGATAAAGATAGACTACAGTCAAGCCATCAGTACTGATAGCTGGTCACTCTCTTTAAAGTTCAAGTGAAATTCCATAAAACAGTGTTAATCTATTAAGGCTGTGCTCGATACAAATATTTTCTCTATACTTCTTTACATACATTTTCAGTAACTTCATACCTTATTCTTGCGATCTTGACTTTGCTCGCTGCCAGTTTCATTGGCAGCATATGCCAGGCTGTTGCTGGAGGAAGAGGGCTCTCTGTCTCGGTCCCTGTCTTTGTCTCCAAACCAGGAGAAAGGCATACAGGTGGGGATGGAGGTCATTGATTCTGCAGGGGACAGGTTCCCTCCAGATTCCTCTAGTAACTCTGCTGACCCCCTGGTCATAAAAGAAAAGTTTAAATGTAATTAGAGAGACACAAACTTACACGTGTTTATGCTGAAAATGTGCCACATTCTATAAAATTAATAATTGTTAATAAACACCAGCTATTTGAGTAATGAGCAAGCAAACCTTTGGAAGATTTGGAATCAACAATGAAGAAAACCAAACAGGATTTCTATAAATACTGCAAAATTAAAATCTTGTTCACCTTCCAATGTGGTAATAGCAACGTCCCCATAAACAAATCAGACTTTTTCAAATATATTCATTTTTTTTAATAAACTAGAATCAACTGTGAGTAGCCATAAAATACCTGCTGTCCAAAGATGCCCTCATTGCGTCTTTCTCGTGTTTTCTTCCTTTTCCACCCGACTTCCTGAGACCCCTGTTTCGATCATTGGAAACATTCATTTAGTTAGTTTAAAAAGCCAAAAGCTTACACATACAATAGTGATTGATTTGGATATTTACCCAAAGTCTGGAAATCTTCTTTTAGGCTTTCCTCCACTTGAAGGCTCATTAAACTCCTCTGTAATGAAACAATAAATTTCAGTGTTGGGAGCAATGCAAGAAAAAGCCTTGCTATTCCACACATCTCAAAACAGACCTTGCATACCTTTGGAATCTTTGATCTTGCCTTTGGACTCCCTCTTCTTCGCATTTCGTGTGATACCGGAAGGAGACTGTGGTGATGAGCTGTGTTTTTGAGGCGACAAAGAGGAACTTTCAATGCTTTCAACACTCTCTCCCTGTGATGGGGACAGAGATGGGCTATTGGAATGCTCTCCTTTACTCCTGGAACCATCTCTAGTCTCGCCTGGATCATCTTTCTGTCCATTCCCAGGATAGAAGACCGGCACTGGGAGGGACAGACTCTCCTGGATGGACCTCCTCCTGCAGGGAGATTGTAGCTCCTCCTGCTCGTCCTCGCCGTCACTTTCCTGTTGGGACCAAAACCATAATTTACAAGGACAATGCAAGGAAGAGGGAATAAAAGCTATTTATATAATAGCTTTATATAAGCTCTGCCTCTAAGTAATGTTTGGCTGTTATCTGTCTCAGTATAATGGCGCACTATTATATTGTTTATTAATAAAAAGAGAAAAAGAACAACATTCTCTAGTCTGTCAGTATGTTTAAACATCTTCTGGACAGAAGTGGTCTCACATGGCTTACAGTTCAATCACATGCTGATATTATGCTCTTTGACAGGATCACAAGCTTTTTCTTTCAGACCTGTGAGTATGACGAAGCCACAGCAAGACTCTCCTTCAGTTTGCTCCGAGACGGAGGCTGACGCCTGGACCTCTGAGCCAACAGGGCCTTTTCTCTGTGTGCACTGGTGTTCAGGCGTTCCGTTTCAGGAAGCAGCTCTCTCCAGTCTTTTTCTATAGCAGAGAAAAAAGCGAATGCACACCTTTTCAGCAATTTACAAGAGTTCAGAGTTTATGTGTACTTGATTTAGAGATCTCAAAATAAAAGTGTGACATGTACACTTCAGTTTTGGTACCTAGATTTGAGTCAACAGACTGTGTGTGTGTGACCGAGTCCTGTCTGCTCAGTCTATCCTCTGCAGCAGATTCCTGAACAATCTGACTCTCCAAAGCTGACTGAGCTCCTCTGGACTCCAGGACAGCTATCTGTGGACAAAGCATCTCACACTGGTTCATTTCAGTATCTTACAAGTCTGGTTGTATATAAGCATTTATTTTTTGAGCTGCAGTCTTACTCTGTTCTGCAAGCTCTCCAGCTGCTCCTTGTACCACTTGTCTTTTTCATCTAGACTTTTTTTCAGTTCCTCCTCTCTCTTCACAAAGTCGATCTCTCTGGGGAGGAAACAAGGAAATGTGGCTCCCATCAGAATTTAAGCTTATAAACATGTTCAGTTTTATGTGATTATCACTAAACCATGCAATTCCACAGAGATATTTTCTGCGGAGGATCACAAAACAAGAGGCTAAGTTTAGATCCAACTGTTTTTTCTGTTGTTTTTTAATGCATAGACTCATTTACATATACTCTTAATTTACACATATACTCTTTTCAACATCTTCCCACCATCCCTGAGTTACATGGTTGATCTCAAGCGACGTGAAGTGATGTAAATCCATGCAAATAATAAATAAGCACTCTCCCACACAACACAGAGACATTATTTGCTGTCACACACTCTCAGACACCCCTTTAGACCAAAACAGTTTTCCAAAAAATATTTTAAGATGCACCGCAAATGATTGCCTTCTGGGTGTTTTGATAATGCACTCTGTATAAAACGAAGATAGTGAAATACCTCCTTTATAACGTAACAGTATGGCTGTTAATAAATGTCCATTTGGTTGTAAAGTGCTGTGTTGCTACTGGAAATCCCCCTGGCTCACTCTAGTACTTGCTTCCAGTTACAGTGTTAATCTCTGTTCATATTTGGTGCTAACAGGCATTGTGGATGATCAAATCACAATTGGGGAGATCAATGTATGCAATTTCAAATGTTCAGTTGACAACTGGTATTATCTGTATATCCTGTAATAACAATTCTATAGTTTGAAACAACAGAAAGGCATCCTTCTCACATTTGCTCATAAACTGCTTCAATCAGACCTGACCAACTTAAACCAACTTTTATAAACATCTGAATTCAACAGCGATGATTTTTTTAAACAGTGTTTTGTAATTTATGACAAACTTACTTTTGCTGGTACTCCTTAAGCAGTTTCTTGGCTTTGTTGTACTTCTTGTCCAGGGTCTCATACTGGGTTTGAGTCTCAGCTAATTGTTCATTCACAGTCTTACACAGAGCCTGGGCTTCCAGCCAGTAATTCTCCAGCTTAAGGATCTTGTCATTATTCTCCTCAATCTTTTGCTCCAGTTCAGACTCCCTGGCTTCCCACACCGATTTATCCTCCTCTGCTGCCGTTAGCTGTGCAGAGAGATGGTGAATGTTAGTTGGGGTTGGTAAAATAACTTAATAGATGAGCAGTGTTATTTTATTTGTTAAATACTGACTAAAAAGACACACGTCACAAATTCTGAATGTGTTTTCTTTTCTCCACAAGTCAAACTTTGGGGTATGTAAGGTTTACTAACTCAGACTTCTGAGATGATAACTTAAAAATCTGGCCAAAAATAAATACATAAATAAATAAACAAATAAATAAAAAATACATATTACTGCAGACATGGGTGAGCAATAAAAGAAACTCAACTTTTTCTATTTTGGTTTCTTTTTTGTTTTTTAAATAAAAATGGCATGGTACACATTATTTAAACTTAAGTTTTTATTACTACTGTATTATGTTATATGTTACATCAAGAGCTTCACCATACCTTTTCTTTTAACTGGTTTATTTCAGCTGTGGCAATGTTGTGTTTGAGCTGGAGCTGGGGGAAAAAGAAAATTGAATATTTTCTTACCTACATTATGTTCATTAAAAACTTGAGTATTAACTTTAAACAACCAAATGTCGATAGTAATACCTCTTTGAACTTGAAGGCCATCTGAGAGCTGTTCATGTTGGTCGGCATAAACAGGGACTCCGAATCAGGGAGTTCAAACACCTCTACATTTCGCCCAGGAGAGAAATTGGATCCCAGAATCCTTTCATCCATTCCATCGTCGTCTTCATACCGGTCCTCCTAAAATTTGATATCACACATGACATTTGATATTGCCAACAGCAACACACCCTCTGTGCACAGGACAAAGGTTAGCATGTGTCAACAATGATTCCAATGTCTGCCACAGTCCGGAAGAAACACTGTAATTATTTTATCATATTCAAACACCTGTAGGTTGACTACACCTATCTGCAGTAACAAATGTAAATACTATGATGACACAATTTTAGTTCATACCTTGGCTTTTCTTTCAAAGAAATTAATTTAAACAAAAGAAAAAGAATATCTCAAGGAAAGAAAATGTCACTTGCATTTATTTATTTTTGAGCCAAGACTAATGACGTGATCCTTAACTGATCACAAACAAGGAGGTGAATTCACCATTCGAGCATGCTTAAACTGCCATTAACAGCTCCACATGGGAAATCACTGGAAGCGGATGTGACATTCTGGACAACTGTACTGCTCAGTTTTAGAACTGTTACAGCGTGAGCAACTGCTATGAATCAAATTAATAATTAAATGAATACTGGAATTTTGTGCTCCTTTTTCTCAGAATCAACCCTTAAAATATGGTATTAGCTTTTAAAAAAAAAAAAAAGGGGTGGGGTGGGGTTGCTATGCTTGATAAGAGTACAGTGTTTAAAATTAAGTGAATGAATTTAATCCATCTTAGAATGAGTCAAAAAAATTAAGAACAATGTGGATCACTTTAAAAAAGTGCCTGAAAACCTCCTGTTTGCACTGCATATCCGCTCGCTCTCTCTGTTGCAAAAGCTCAGGCCTGTGGCAGCTTGAACTTCAAAAAGCAAACATTTCACAACTCCAGCAGACAGATGGTAGTTAAATGAACACTTTCCAACACAGCCGAATGGTGACACATGGTTTACTCACAGCCAGCTGCTCATTTGCTGGTTGAGCTGAGTGGGATAGGTCAGGGCGTGGCAAAAGGAGATAGTGCTATTATCGTGGCGTGTGAGCTTTATAATAATTACCAGTTTTCAAGCAGCAGACGCTTAATTTTTCTTTGGACGGTCTGATGTACAACATGGTTTTACAATTTCTGTTCAAAGTACTTTAATGATGTCATGTCATCACCATGGGAATTTTCACATCTCTATCTTTCATCCCACGTGACAACAATATAGCATAAGGATGACCAATGATTAATCCCTTAAAGATATGAGAGGGGTGAAGGAGCAGCTGACTCACCTCTTCTGTTGAATGTTCATATGGGTCATCCAGGTCTTCCTGCTGCTGCTGCTGGTTCTTCTCCTGTTCTAGTGTCTCACTTATGAGGCGGGCTACCTCGCTTTGTGTTCCCGGCTTCTCCCGACCAATCAGAAACCTGTTAATGCTAACCTTGTTAGTAAACTATTTATCATAATACTTTACATGCTGCTTTGAAATACCACACTGCAGAGCATCTGTTATGCCTACTAGGGGGAAATGCAAATTTTGGGTTGCATTTCAAGCCTCCCCGTGTCACGCAGGGGTGTTTGATTTTCCTATGATAAATCAGTAATATAATGCATACTTTGTGCAACCTTTCCTCAAAAGAGAAAACAAACACACCTCTGACCTCTTATGGGAAAAACACAGACTCAACTACTAGCTTTATTTTAATATTTTAAGATAACAGCGATACATTCTTGTTACCAGTAAGGTATTTTAACTAAAGTTGTTTTTAATTAAAGTTTTGGAGTTTGAACTGACCTGACTGTGCCTTTGGTGTTCTTTAGCACTGTGGCAGCAAACAGTTGAGTGACTCCCACCAGACTGATACCATCCACCTCCACTATCTGGTCATTGACCTGAATGCTAAAGACAGAAAATGAGGTGATCACAAAATGGAGTATTTCAAACTACTTCAAATGGGGAGTTATATTACACACATCTAAATATCACAACAAACAGAAACCGAACGATTACTAAAGTGGAGAATTTCTTGAGTATTTCCATTAGCTTCGTTGCAAAGTTATAAATAAACATGTTTTTTCAGGTGTGTCAGTAGCTGTGTGACATTACACTGTGGTGTAGTACACGATGCATTTTATGCATTTTTTTTCTTCGAAGTCTAATCAGAAGAAGTTTGGAGCAGTGTGACTCACCGTCCATCTTTCTCAGCTGCTCCACTCTCAGTTATGGTTTTCACAAAAATCCCAAGCTTTTCCAGACCCTGGTCAGCTCCCACTCCCATTCCTATTATGCTGATACCAAGCCCGTTGTCTCCTGGATGAAGAGAAAATAAGCACATTTTAAAGAATGGGTAGAAAGAACTGCATAACAGCAAACTTGAATTCACACCTTTTAACTCTAGATAGCCTCCACATGTGAAAACATAAACGACTGGGTGAGCTCATCTGTAGCCTGTGCTATCGTCAACCTGTGAAACCGCTGGTGTTGAATACAATCTCTAGGAGTGCTGTTGACTTTTGGGGGGGGGTTTGGCAGCTTCATGCCATGTGTATACTTGGAAGATGCAGATGTAAAGCTTTGGCACGTAGAGTTAAATTTAATATTTTAATACATTAATGATTGGCAAGCTATCACCTCTCTTTATATTTTCAATGTCAGCACATCCTTGCATCCTGTTTTTAGGTCTATGTACACCATAAGCCATCATTTGATTAAAGAAACTGCTGACTGTCATAAATACTATTAATGCAAATCTATTCCAAAGTTACAATGGTCAACTGTTAAGATCTGTGAATATACGGGTGGCTTTGGAGAACAAACTTATCTTGTTCTTTAATATGTGTTATTTATTCATTTAGTTATGGAAAACCCACCTTTCTCAATCTCCACGGGAAACACGTCCATCTTCTCCACCCTCTTCTCCAGCTCATACTCTGCAGATGCTGCAACTGGGTCAACATCATCGTTACGCCGATCGTATTCCTCATTAGAGAAGGTACTGAAAACCTGTGGCAAGCAAAATAGTCCATAGCATCAACAGAGTCATTCTACGTCCGGACCTGGCAGATAAGCATCACACAAATTTATGAGTTAAATCCACAGGATCCTCACAGGCACAGGCTTTTTTTTGTTTCTTTTTAATAAATCTGGGCAAGCTTAACAAGGACACATTCTTGATATGGTTTGGGGAAGAAGGAATTTCACTCATGCACTGATCTTTGCTAGAGAAAATAAGTCATCAGTTCACTCACTACTTAACTGTAACAACGTGCTGGGCGACAGCTGAACCCATTGACTTGGACCAGTTTCACTAACATTTGCTCTTTCAAGTTCTGTTGCACTTTCACCATTTTTGTCACCATTGGGTTTAACTTAGGATATATAGCAGCTTACATTTATAGTACTGATCTTTATGTCTTGAATCAAAGTAAAATGTCAGTGACACTAAAGCTCAAGAGACATTTTAAAACATGCTCTATGTAAGAAGTTGTGAACTTTGCAAGCAGGCTTCACAAAGTACTGGATGCGTCCCAAAGGCAGCATGTGTGTGCAATTATAAAGCACACACAAGCTGTATGTCAGAACAAGAGCAGCATGGAAAGTGGGGCACAGCTGGGGGAACCAAGCAGTGGATGTAGCAATGATCAATATTCAAAGACGACAAGTGCGGCCATCAGCACAGGAAAAAGTGACACAGGAGAAAAACCCCCCAAAAACATTAGCCTTGGTTAGCAGGCATTATCCAGGGCTCAGAAACAGCCCCATGGTTTAAAACACACAGCAAGACAACAAGTTCCATTTATCCATTTAGCAGAAATTATATTCATAATCCACTTTGAAAAACAACAAGGGTCAAGCCAAAGTGAGCACCATAATACTGGGAAAAATGGACTTTGATCGCCATCTGTGGTCACTCAGTTATTAAAATATGTAACCCAAAAATACTTTGATTAAAATGAGAGGATTTTTTCCAGCAAAATGCCATAAAGTGAAGACAGCAAATTACATTTGGTATTACAGATATAACATTACTGTTTTTTTAAAAAAAAAAGAAAGAAAAGAAAAAGAAGTAGATTACAGTTTAGCAGACTCCATCAGAAGCTAATGCCTGATTATGCATTGGTAAAATAACCCCCCTGCTTGGTCATTGTTAATCTTAATCTGGGTGGAGTTATAATGATGCCAGTGTCAGTGTTTAATAGTACATCCACGCAGGTATGTAAAGGTTTTAGAGAAAACTGTTCTAAGCCAGAAGGCATCTTTTTCAGCAAAGGCCTTGGATATTTCAGCAAGACAATACTAAACTACATACTGCAGCTATTACAACAGCTTGGCTTTACAGTAGACAAGTATGTATGCTGAGCTGTACTGCCTGCACTGCTGTTCCCAGATATTTATAGATGTTGCTAAAAGAAAATAAGAAAGAATTGGTGTTGTAGATTAAAAGCAATATTATTAATTTCTCAAAATATAAATGTAGGGTTCTAAAAATGTAGGTTTTTTTGTTTCATTAACAGACAATTCTGAGAAATCAACTAAAATATTCACTAGTTTAAACTGTACTGCAGAACCACACATACAACTGCAAGCATTCTCATGAAACAATTTTTTTAAACAGAAAATTTTACATGAATCTTGTAATTAATAAGCAGATGTATTGTGCTCTAGTGTACATTCCTGGGAAACACTAAAACAAAAATCCTAGAACAAAAGATGACACAAACAAAAAACAGAAACTACAAATTCTATAGGATTAGACTGACTGAGACATTTACCTTCAGATTAAATGATGTAATTAAATAAACATTTCCACTGAGGTCTAGATCCTGCAGCATGTCAAGACTTGAGGAATCAACCACAAACAATCTCATCCTTCCTCTGTCTTTCTTTCTCCTCACAATGTAGCCTTTGGATGAAGCCCAAATACACTGCTGATAGCAAGTTTCCCGAATAACTCGCTAAGCTTTATATTAAATCTGTCAGAGTGAATTACTGCAACATTTCTGTTTTACAACATCCCACTGATTATCATCAAAGTGGACACATGGAATACATAACACTGCTTCCTTTAGCAGTCTTTTACAGAGGGGAATTCAGACACAGGTCAGTTATACCTTAATGTTCCTCACGGCTTCATTCAGACATAACCATGACAGTGCTGCAGAGTCATTTCCTCTTAGATCCTGTCTCAGTGACGGGAATAATTTATTTTAAGTACTTCAAGAAGTTACTACTGCTGTGCAATAGTACATGCAATTATCTTGCTTTGGAAAGCATGGGGTATATCCAAGATCCTAGAACCTGTTCTTTTACATGCTATATTACATATCTCCAGCAACTTATTTAATTAAGCAGTGCTATGCAAAAGACCCACATCTGAATAGCTTTTGCAGTGTGAGACCACTGAGGAGTCTAGACGGATTTATAGTCTAGGAAGAAACGCTATTACTAGCTACACTAGTAACACAAGTGTCTAACATTTCAAACCCCTTTTTTTAAAAAAAAATTATAATAATGAAACAATGTTATTCCAGGTGTAGAATCAATATTCCTGTGCTTCCTTCCTGTCTTTTTTTTTTTTTTTTTTTTAATTTACATCAAACTAAAGTAAGGTGTCTATACATAGTGTGTAAGCTTACATATTTCTATTTAACAACAAGCCACTCAAACACATAAGGGTTACTAATATTGCAAGTCTGTGACTGTCTGATAAATCCATGTAAACCTCTATTAATTTATGCAGTTTACATGGATTTATCAGAACTCAGCAAAAGTCTTCACTAAGGATAAAATCTACTGTTTCGTTTATACTTTAAAGAGTTAGTAGTTGAGGGATGAAAATGTAGGTTAATGGAATGCAACAAGCACCACTGAATCCTGGTCCGTGGCATTAGCTGAGGAGCAGCTTGGCTTCTACCCCATACCTTTCCCTGATCTCTCACGTCTGACTTCCCTGTTGCCATGGACTCCTGGGCCTTTTTCAAACAATGTCCTGTTCTGTCCAGAAACCTAATCACTCAACCGCTGTCTTCTTTGCAAGAAAGAGAAAAATCTGTCTTTATTAGCGTCTCCCTTTACAAAAACACCCTTAAACACAGCTCGCTGTTTCCAGATCAGACAGATAAATTCATTTTCATTTTATGTGCAGAACGTGCCCAGCACAGTAACCACTTGAAATGTAAACACGCAAATGTCGATCAGACAACTGACTCCAACAAGTATGAGAAACCAAAGAATGGAAGAACTAAAAAAAATCCTTTAAGTTTATACAGAACAAGGTATTTAGTGCGCATGGGAATCAGACAAATCCAAGAGCTCGTGTTTCATTTGCTCTGGTTCCCCTCCCGATCAAACAAATTTCCACACAGACTTGCTCGTGCGGGGCCAATCACAGCTGTTTGTGTAATATGGGTGGGTTTAAGATAATGATCAGCCTCTCCTCACACTGTAGTTTGCTTACATTTTGCCATCATTTAGTAGTGCATCACATGCAAGGTTATTATACACAACTAAAGGCTCAACTATCACGCTTTCTTATTTTAATAGAAATAAAACTGGACTTGAAATAAAAATTACCATAAACTGAAACAATACTTATTTACTACCTTTAGAAAATACAAAACTGTAATGCTGATCATGTGTTTTGTTACTTCTACCCTTAATTGACCCCTTTCTTTGATTTCTGGTTCTTTGGTTCTTTAGTAAATTAATATAAAAAAGACGTACTTTAAGTATGCCATCTATACATTTCCATGTCTTTCAATACACTAGCTGTCTGCAACATGTGATATCTTAACAACTCCCACAACTGTAGTGGTTGTCTGTTCTCTCCATGTGGGCTCACATGCACAGATGGATACATTCCCACACCCAAACTGAAACCCTTTCCATCTTTCCCTCCCCACAACAGAATACCAGTGTGGGAAATGAGTCAGCAGCTGTGAGGAAAAGTCAACCCAGAGAAATATTTTGCCAATGCAAAAAAAACCAAAAAAAAAACAAGGGCTGACCACTGATTTGGAGAGCTCATAATGTAAGCAGACCTACAAAAAGACAACAAATCAAAACATGCTGTGGGAGCTAGATGGGGCAGGGGTGGTGGTCTGGCACAGATCAGAGAGTAAATGGGAAAAAAAGCAAAGGGGCCCAGTGCTGTGATCCTGGGTAAATGCACCAGCAAACAGAAAAATATGCATCTACTACTTCCTGCATGCATTCTCCTGAAATGAGTTTGTAGAGTTCACCATGACTGACTGTAAGTCAAGTTTGAGTTTGCCTTTTTTAGACTTCAAAGTGTAAAGAACTGCAGCAGGAAGAGGTGGAGTCTGAGAAGCGCACAGTGCCATAACAGAGTCAAATTTCCAAAAGGAGCGCAAACATAAACAGGTTGAACAGGTTTGTTTATAAATGGCACAAAAGCCACTTTTGTACAGCAAGAGCTTCTGAAAACTACAGTTATCTTTGAGTGAAATATACACAGCATCTGTTAAATGTGCTCGCTGGTAAAGGGATAATGAAACCGTTTAAGGCCATCACAATCAAGACTCATCCCATGCCAAGCTGTTTAATGAACAGCATTGAGCTGACGGCATTAGTATTCTGCCCTGTTTCGTCAGAGTCACTCGCCAGTCCAGGTGGCTGGAGCAAAATCGAATCCCCTCCATTTGTTGGATCAGGGTGGGACCAAGTCAGACAAATTCCCCAACACAAGACCCATTTTAGTTAGGAAACGGAAAGCATAACGCTAAGGGGTGGATTGGCTGCAGAGGGTAGCATCCAAATGTCAACCCCCCCGCCCTTTT